GAACGTCTTTGTCCTTGTTCATGTCACGATGCTCCTGTCAGTGTTTAACAACATATGCTTCCCCTTTAATCCCAGAGTTAGTTTTTAAAAGTACATGATTCTTGTTTGTGTATATTATCTCGGTGCTCTAAAATTATCCTAGCCTACTTGCAGGAAAGGGTAAAACCCTTTAAACAAAAACTGAGTTAGCTATGTTCATTCTTTTGCTATGTCATGGTTGGACCTCAGCCTCCCAATGCGCTGGGATTACAAGAGTGGTGTCTTCGGAGTTTTGTGATGTGGAAAGGCCTTCAGAATATCCAACAACATTATGAAGTCTTTAGTGGCAAACGTGTCCATCTGTATCCTGGCTTTTGCAGGAATCAATTATATTACTGTTATAAAAGGCTTGTAGACATTTCTTAATGAGGCTACAGATACTTGGTAACATGGACATCCTCAGACAGAGTTATCTATAAGCATACAGTAGATGTTATTTTCAGAAAATTAAATATTGCCTGCCCTGCGAAGTGTATATAATGTGGAACGCACAAAGCCAGAAAAGAGGCTGACATGTTTGGAAATAAAGCTTCTGGTCTTCTGAATGTCACATTACCTCTTCCTGGTATTGGGCAAGAATAAGCAAACTGCAGCTCTAGAGGAGAGTCTTACGAGATCGGTATTAACACTGGAGAGCTTTATTTTTGTGACTTGGAAATGCAGCAAGACAGTCTCCACTTGATGTAGGATTTGTTTCCTTCTGTTCAGTTTATGCTGTTAATGGTTCTAAGAGGTTTGGGAGAGGATCTATGGAGCCAGTTCCAGACTGGTCCTCTTACTTAGAATACATTGGGCATCCCCATCTGATACTGTAACTTGTAAGTATATTTGTCTAGGTATATATGCACGTATATGTTTGTGTGTGATATAAATGTAGTTCTGAAATTGAATAGTGTCACACACTTATACAACGTAACCAGAATTGTATGAGTGGCCGTAAGGCAAACATGACATCACAATCTTCTGTTCCATGAAAACAAATCCATGAGCTCCTGCCATTGGATCTTACTTATTTCAGGCAGTAGCCACACTGTTGGTGGGTAGTGGGAATGCTAAGTTCATTTCTCTCTCTTTGTTTTTTTTTTTTTTTTTTAAGATGGAGTTTTGCTCTTGTTGCCCAGCTGGAGTGCAATGGCATGATCTTGGCTCACCACAGCCTCCGCCTCCTGGGTTCAAGCGATCTCTGGCCTCTGCCTCCCATGTAACTGGGATTAAGGCATGCACCACCACGCTCAGCTAGTTTTTTGCATTTTTAGTAGAGACAGGGTTTCTCCATGTTGGTCAGGCTGGTCTCGAACTCCTGACCTCAGGTGATTTGCCCACCTCGGCCTCCCAAAGTGCTGGGATTACAGGCATGAGCCACCGTCCCTGGCCCAGTTCATCTCTTCTTGGTGGCATTGTAATATTTTTGCTCACAAGGCTAGAGGTCAGGAGGCATAGAAAAAAGAAAATGGGTTTGGGGATCAAAGACTGGGATGCAATTTCAAACCTAACGGCCAATAGCTATGATATCAGGCAAGTGACTTCATCTCTCTGTGACTATTTGTAAAATTTATAAAACTGGAATAGCAATACTTGTCTCATTAGTATATCGTGAACTTTAAACGAAATATTTTTTGTAAAGTTTGTACCTGAGAGCTTGACAGAGTAGGCACTCAAAACATTTTAGCTTGTTGGCCGGGAGCAGTGGCTCATGCCTATAATCCCAGCACTCTGGGAGGCCGAGGCAGGTGGATCACGAGGTCAGGAGTTCAAGACCAGACTGGCTAATATGGTGAAACCCCGTCTCTACTTAAAAAATGCAAAAATTAGCTGGGCATAATGACTGGTTCCTGTAATCCCAGCTACTTGGGAGGCTGAGGTAGGAGAATTGCTTGAACTGGGACCCTGGAGGCAGAGGTTGAAGTGAGCCAAGATCACACCACTGCACTCCAGCCTGGGCTACAGAGCAAGACTCCATCTCAAAAAAAAAAAAAAAAAAAATTAGCTTGCTTCATGTTATAACTATAGCCCAGAACAGTAGTAATACACACGTGTATGGGTTCATGCCTACAGGCTGCCATATGAATGTACTCTAGCTGTCTCTTCTAAAAACATGCTTTGTATGGGTCCAGTAAAGTCTGTCATTCTAGAAGCTATCAGAACTAGATCAATCAGAGTTCACAAAGGAGATAAAGTAGAAAAGCCGCAATCCATGGAAATTTACTACTTTTAAAGGGTTTTTTTTTTTTTTGGTACTTTAATTATGTATGTGTGGTTTTGTGTGTCTGCATGTGTATAAAATCCAGAGGCCAGGTGCGGTGGCTCACGCCTGTAACCCCAGCACTTTGGGAGTCCAGGGCAGGCAAATCACAAGGTCAGAAGTTAGAGACCAGCCTTGCCAACATGGTGAAACCCTGTCTCTACTAAAAATACAAAAATTTAGCTGGGCATGGTGGCGCGTGCCTGTAATCCCAGCTACTCAGGAGGCTGAGGCAAGAGAATTACTTGAACCCGGGAGACAGAGGTTGCAGTGAGCTGAGATCACGCCACTGCGCTCTAGCCTAGGCAACGGAGTGAGACTGTGTCTCAAAAAAAAAACAAAAAAAAATCCAACAGAACATTTTAAATATTAGTGCCTATAGCCAATATTCACTTAGATTTACCACATATCTGCCATTTTTATTCCTCTTCCTTCCTCCCTGAGGAATTCTATCTACAAACTTTGATCTAGATTCATTTTTTTTCCCTCTACCTAAAGAATACCTTTTAGTATTTTCTGTAATGGAGATCTGTTGGTGCTGAATTCTTTGTTACTTTTTGTGTGAACATGTCTCTATGGAAGGATCTTTTTGCTCCATATAGAATTCTCGATTGGCGATTCTTTTTCTTCAGCACTTTGAACATATTCCATTGTCTACTGGATTCCATTATTTTTGTTGAGATGTAAAGTGTGTAAGGTGTGAGTTCAATTGTTGCTTATTTGGAGGTAATATGGATTTTGTTCTAGAGGCGTGTGTGTGTGTGTGTGTGTGTGTGTGTGTGTGTGTGTGTGTGAAATGGAGTTTCTCGTCGCCCAGGCTGGAGTGTGATGGCGTGATCTTGGCTCACTGCAACCTCTGCCTCACAGGTTCAAGCAATTCTCCTGCCTCAGCCTCCCAAGTAGCTGGGATTACAGGTGCTTGCCACCACAACTGGCTGATTTTTGTATTTTTAGTAGAGACGGGGTTTCACCATGCTGGCCAGGCTGGTCTCAGAGTAAAGTGCTGTGATCTCTGCTCACTGCAACCTCCGTCCCCCAGGTTCAAGCGATTCTCCTGCCTCAGGCTCCTGAGTAGCTGGGATTATAGGCGCATGCCACCACACCCGGCTTAATTTTGTATTTTTAGTAGCAACGGGGTGTCGCCATGTTAGCCAGGCTGGTCTCAAACTCCTGACTTCAAGTGATCCACCTGCCATGGCCTCCCAAAGTGCTGGGATTATAGGCATGAGCCACCATGCCACACCTTTTTACTATCTTATTTGCTGTCCAGTACAGTAAGAAAAAATATTTAAACATTTTGTCTAGAGTTTTAAAATTTATTTGTTTGCTTATATTTTTGTTCAGTTTTTAGTTATCCTCAGAAGGAGGGTTGGTCCAAACTACCTAGTCTACTACATCTAGAAGAGACATTGAAAATTGCCTTCTTTTTCTTTGAGATGGAATCTCACTCTCACCCAGGCTGCAGTGCAGTGGCACAAACTCAGCCCACTGCAACCTCTGCTGCCTCGGTTCAAGTGTTTCTCCTGCCTCGGCCTCCAGAGTAACTGGAATTACAGGCACCTGCCATTGTGCCAGGCTAATTTTTTGTATTTTTAGTAGAGACGGGGTTTCACCCTATTGGCCAGGCTGGTCTGGAACTCCTGGACTTGTGATCCACCCACCTCAGCCTCCCAAAGTGCTGGGATTACAGGCCTGAGCCACCACACCTGGCCTATCCAGTAAATATTTATTAAGCTCCAACCATATGCCAAGCATCCGTTTGTTGTTGTTTGCTTTTTGAGATGGAGTCTTGCTGTGTCACCCAGGCTGGAGTGCAGTGGCACAATCTTGGCTCACTGCAACCTCTGCCTCCTGGGTTCAAGTGATTCTTGTGTCTCAGCCTCCCAAGTGTCTGGAATTACAGGTGCCCACCACCACGCCCAGCTAATTATCTTTAGTGGAGATGGTTTCACCATGTTGGCCAGGCTGGTCTTGAACTCTTGACCTCAAGTGACCCACCCACCTCGGCCTCCCAAAGTGCTAGGATTACAGACGTGAGCCACTGCGGCCAGCCACCAAGCATCCTTTTAGGGGCTGGGGACTCAGTGGTAAACACATCATGCCTGCCTCCTGGAATTCACCTACAGTGTCACTCTGATCCGTGTTTAGTCCTGTCCTGTATGATAACAGTTGTCCATTGAGCTCATAAAATCTAAAACCATGCTGGGCTTCTGAGTTGCCCACAGAGCCCAGCTCAGTGCTAAAAGCTAAGTGGTGCTCTGTCATTGCTGGGGTTCAAGTGGCTGGTTCTAACAGAGACGGGCTATAGAGCTAACACTTGGTGGAATATTTTAAATACCGATGGCCTTTTCACTGGTTTCTGCCTATGGTAAGTACAGGTACAACCAAAAGTGAAGAGCCTCATTTATAGGGTGCCGCTCGGGGAGGGAGCTTTGCAAACTGAGTCATTTTTCCCCCATTCAGCCTGTGTGTGTGCCTGTGTGTGTCTGTGTATCTGTGTGTCTCTATGTGCGTGTCTGTGTGCCTGTGTGTGTCTGTGTATCTGTGTGTCTCTGTGTGTGCCTGTGTGTATGTGTGTGTCTGTGTGTATGTATCTGTGTATGTATGTGTGTGTGTATGTATCTGTGTGTGTGTGTGAGTTCATACGTGTGCTTAAGAATAAAACATTTTCATTTGTTCCCTTCCTCCTTCCTCTCTCTGTCTCTCCCTGTTTCCGCAGGTCAGCGTTGAAGTTTTGGTAGAGTATCCTTTTTTTGTGTTTGGACAGGGCTGGTCTTCCTGCTGTCCGGAGAGAACCAGCCAGCTCTTTGATTTGCCGTGCTCCAAACTCTCAGTTGGGGATGTCTGCATCTCGCTTACCCTCAAGAACCTGAAGAACGGCTCTGTTAAAAAGGGCCAGCCCGTGGATCCCGCCAGCGTCCTGCTGAAGCACTCAAAGGCCGACGGCCTGGCGGGCAGCAGACACAGGTATGCCGAGCAGGAAAACGGAATCCACCAGGGGAGTGCCCAGATGCTGTCTGAGAATGGCGAACTGAAGTTTCCAGAGAAAATGGGATTGCCCGCAGCACCCTTCCTCACCAAAATTGAACCCAGCAAGCCTCCGGCCACGAGGAAGAGGAGGTGGTCGGCGCCGGAGAGCCGCAAACTGGAGAAGTCAGAAGACGAACCACCTTTGACTCTTCCTAAGCCTTCTCTAATTCCTCAGGAGGTTAAGATTTGCATTGAAGGCCGGTCTAATGTAGGCAAGTAGAGGCAGCGTGGGGAAAGGAAACGTGGCTCTCCCTTATCGTTTGTATCCAGATTACTGTACTGTAGGCTAAATAACACAGTATTTACATGTTATCCTCTTATTTTAGGTTTCTGTTCTAACCTTGTCATTAGAGTTACAGCAGGTGTGTCGCAGGAGACTGGTGCATATGCTTTTTCCACGAGTGTCTGTCAGTGAGCAGGCGGGAGGAAGGGGGCTCCAGGCATCCCCCAGGAAGAAAGGAATGGGGCTTCAGGGCACCTGCCTTCTCTAGCAGCGCAGAAGCAGCCCGGGGCACTGACTCCCGCTAGCGTCAGGGGAAAGTTCCGTGGGAAGGGTCCTGCCGAGTTGCAGGGGTGCATGCATGTGGGGGTGCACAGGCGCTGTGGCGGCGAGTGAGGGTCTCTTTTTCTCTGCCTCCCTCTGCCTCACTCTCTTGCTATCAGCATGGGACTGGGGAATTCAGAACAGGGTCCTCCTGGGGTTCCCACGTACAAAATCAACATCAGGAACCTAGCTTCAGGGCATCGCAGACGCGTCAGACGGCAGATTTGGAAAGCTAACCATTTAAAAGAACATTTTTCTCTCCAACATATTTTACAGTAAAAGCAACTTTTAATTGTATAGATATATATTTCCCCCTATGGGGCCTGACTGCACTGATATCTATTTTTTTTTTTTTTAAAGAGCAACTGCCACATGCGGGATTTCATTTCTGCTTTACTAGTGCAGTGATGTCACCAGGGTGTCGTGGTGGACAGGGAAGCCCCTGCTGTCATGGCTCCACGTGGGGTAAGGGGGTTTGGGGGTGGGGGCGGGGAGAGAACACCCACGCTGGTTTCTGTGCAGTGTTAGAAAAACCAATCAGGTTACTGCACTGACTTCACTCCCAAGAGGTAGATGCAAACTGCCCTTCCGTGAGAGCAACGGAAGCTCTTCACGATGAGTTTGCAAAATCTTTGTCTTTTAACTCTAGTACTGTTTATAGTTCATGACTATGGACAACTCGGGTGCCACTTTTTTTTTTTTTCAGATTCCAGTGTGACATGAGGAATTAGATTTTGAAGATGAGCATATATTACTATCTTTAAACATTTAAAAATACTGTTCACACTTTATTACCAAGCATCTTGGTCTCTCATTCAACAAGTACTGTATCTCATTTTAAACTCTTTGGGAAGAGGAAAAAAAAAAAAAAAAAACTAAGTTGCTTTCTTTTTTTTTCAACACTGTAACTACATTTCAGCTCTGCAGAATTGCTGAAGAGCAAGATATTGAAAGTTTCAATGTGGTTTAAAGGGATGAATGTGAATTATGAACTAGTATGTGACAATAAATGACCACCAAGTACTACCTGACGGGAGGCACTTTTCACTTTGATGTCTGAGAAACAGTTACAGGCATATGCAGAGTGGGCAGAGAAACTGAGGAAAGGGATGGAGAAGAGAATACTCATTTTTGTCCAGTGTTTTTCTTTTTAAGATGAACTTTTAAAGAACCTTGCGATTTGCACATCTTGAGTTTGTAATTTGTGTGATATTCCTGCAGTTTTTATCCAATAACATTGTGGGAAAGGTTTGGGGGACTGAACGAGCATAAATAAATGTAGCAAAATTTCTTTCTAACCTGCCTAAACTCTAGGCCATTTTATAAGGTTATGTTCCTTTGAAAATTCATTTTGGTCTTTTTACCACATCTGTCACAAAAAGCCAGGTCTTAGTGGGCTCTTAGAAACTCTGAGAATTTTCTTCAGATTCACCGAGTTTTCCATAAAAACATTTATATATGTGAGCAAGATTTTTTTAAAAAACAATTACTTTATTATTGTTATTAGTGTTATTTTCAGAATGACTTTTTTTTTCTATTCAAAATCAAATCAAGATTTAATGTTTGGTACAAACCCAGAAAGGGTATTTCATCGTTTAAACCTTTCATTCCCAGAGATCTGAAATATCATTTGTGGGTTTTGAGTGCATCTTTAAAGTGCTTTAAAAAAAACGTTTTATAAGTAGGGAGAAATTTTTAAATATTCTTACTTGGATGGCTGCAGCGAACCTGAACAAATCCATACCAGATTTTTCTTTTACCCCCCTGAAAATAGTACTTCCTTCATCTCACAAATTAAAAAACAAAAATCTGACATCAGCCCACATTTTGGCTATCTAGTATTCATTTACATTTAGTGCTCAGCAGGACTAATGATTTTTATAAACCATTTTCTGGGGTGTACCAAAAACATCTGAATAGGTTTAGAATAGCTAGAATAGTTCCTTGACTTTCCTGGAACTTCATTACCCTCTCAGCATGCTTGCAGAGAGGCGGGTGGGTTCATTCTTGCGGTCAGACTGCTTAGTTAGTGCTGTATTTTTTAAACGTTTCTGTTCAGAGAACTTGCTTAATCTTCCATATATTCTGCTCAGGGCACTTGCAATTATTAGGTTTTGTTTTTCTTTTTGTTTTTTAACCTTTGATGGTAAGAGGAATACGGGCTGCCACACAGACTTTGTTCTCGTTAGTATCACTATTGACAACTCATGTGGACTCAGAGAAACACACACCACCTTTTGGCTTACTTCGAGTATGGAACTGACTGGATCCACTAAACCAACACTAAGATGCGAAAACACACGTGGTTTGGAGCAATAGGATCATCATCATCATTTTTGTGGTTCTATTTCAGGTATAGGAATTATAAAAATAATTGGTTCTTTCTAAGCACTTGTCCCATTTCATTCTCTTGCTTTTTTAGCATGTGCAATACTTTCTGTGCCAATAGAGTCTGACCAGTGTGCTCTATAGTTAAAGCTCATTCCCTTTCCGCTTCTTCCTTGTTTGGTTGATCTTCCCCATTCTGGCCAGAGCAGGGCTGGAGGGAAGGAGCCGGCAGGGAGAGCACCTCCCACCTTTCCCTTGCTGCAGATGCTGAGTGCTGGGGCGGGCAGCCTTCAGGAGCCCCGTGCGTCTGCCGCTGCGTTGCAGAAAAAGCCAGCCAAGGAGACCTGGGGGAGGAGCCGCAGTGTCCCCTGTCACCACACGGAATAGTGAATGTGGAGTGTGGAGAGGAAGGAGGCAGATTCATTTCTAAGACGCACTCTGGAGCCAGGTAGCCTGGAGTCAACCCATTTTCCACGGTCTTTTCTGCGAGCGGGTAGGCCCCCTCCTCGGAGTCTGTGTCCTTGAGACTTGGAGCCCTGCCTCTGAGCCTGGACAGGAAGTATGGCCTGTTGTGTGTGTGTGTTCTGAGCGGGCTGGCCAGTGGCTGTGGAGGGGACCACCTGCCAACCACGGTCACCACTCCCTGTGGTAGCTTTCTCTTCAAATAGGAAGAATGCACAGAGGGCAGGAGCCTCCTGTTTGCAGACGCTGGTGAGCCCCGAGGCTCCCAGAGCAGCCTCTGTCACCGCTTCTGTGTAGCAAACATTAACGATGACAGGGGTAGAAATTCTTCGGTGCCGTTCAGCTTACAAGGATCAGCCATGTGCCTCTGTACAATGTCCACTTTGCAATATTTACTGACAGCCGTCTTTTGTTCTTTCTTTCCTGTTTTCCATTTTTAAACTAATAACAGCAGGCCTTTTGCGTTTACAGTGGAACACAATCACCAAGAAATTAGTCAGGGCGAAAAGAAAAAATAATATTAATAAGAAACCAACAAACAAGAACCTCTCTTTCTAGGGATTTCTAAATATATAAAATGACTGACTGTTCCTTAGAATGTTTAACTTAAGAATGATTTCAGTTTGTCTGGGCCACACTGGGGCAGAGGGGGGAGGGAGGGATACAGAGATGGATGCCACTTACCTCAGATCTTTTAAAGTGGAAATCCAAATTGCATTTTCATTTGGACTTTCAGGATAATTTTCTATGTCGGTCAATTTTTCGTTTTCCCTAACTCACCCCGTTTAGTTTGGGCTGATTTGATTTTTGTCGTCGATCCCGTTTCTCACTCAGAATTGTGAGCCTCTATGTTTTCTGTTAGGTGAGTGTGTTGGGTTTCCCCCACCCCACCAGGAAGTGGCAGCATCCCTCCTTCTCCCCTAAGGGGCTCTGCGGAACCTTTCACACCTCTTACTCAGGGACGGGGCTGGTGTGTGTGTGGTACACTGATGTGTCCAGAAGCAGCACTTTGACTGCTCTGGAGTAGGGTTGTACAATTTCAAGGAATGTTTGGATTTCCTGCATCTTGTGGATTACTCCTTAGATACCGCATAGATTGCAATATAATGCTGCATGTTCAAGATGAACAGTAGCTCCTAGTAATCATAAAATCCACTCTTTGCACATAGTTTGATCTTTACTGAAATATGTTGCCAAAATTTATTTTTGTTGTTGTAGCTCTGGATTTTGTTTTGTTTTTTAAGGAAATGATTGACAATACCCTTTTAACATCTGTGACTACTAAGGAAACCTATTTCTTTTATAGAAAAATCTCCAGTGCTTTTGAAGACACTAATGTCATGCTATTTCAGATATGGGTGAGGAGGCTGAGCTCTCGGACCGAAGGCCAGGCTTCTTGAGCTGTGCTGGTTGTCATGGCTACTGTTTCAGGAACCATAAGCAGCTCAGCAGACTGGTCTGTTGTCTTCTGAAACTCTTTGCACTTCAATTTGCACCAGGTGAAAACAGGGCCGGTAGACTCCGTGGCCCAATTCAGTTTCTTCCGTGGTGATACGAAAGGAAACAGAATTACATTTTTTTTTTTTTTTGTAAGCGGAGTGGAGGCCTTTGCTTCCACATTTGTTTTTAACCCAGAATTTCTGAAATAGAGAATTTAAGAACACATCAAGTAATAAACACACGGAGAATATACTTTTTTATAAAGCACATGCATCTGCTATTGTGTTAGGTTGGTTTCCTCTCTTTTCCACGGACAGTGTTGTATTTCTGGCATAGGGAAACTCCAAACAACTTGCACACCTCTACTCCGGAGCTGAGATTTCTTTTACATAGATGACCTCGCTTCAAATATGTTACCTTACTGATAGGATCTTTTCTTGTAGCACTATATCTTGTGGGGATTTTTTTTTTTTTTAATGTACACCTAATTTGAGAAGCTGAAGAAAACAAAATTTTGAAGCACTCACTTTGAGGAGTACAGGTAATGTTTTAAAAAATTGCACAAAAGAAAAGTGAATGTCGAAATGATTCATTCAGTGTTTGAAAGATATGGATCTGTTGAAACAATGAGTTTCATACTTTGTTTGTAAAAAAAAAAAAATTAAAAAGCAGAGAAGGGTTGAAAGTTACATGTTTTTTTTGTACATAGAAATTTGTCATGTCTAAATGATCAGATTTGTATGGTTACGGCCACGAAGAATTACTACGTAAAAGGCTCTTAAACTATACCTATGCTTACTGTTGTTTTTGTTACACATGGCCCTCGTCTGAGGGAGGGGAACTCGTATTCTGCTATTTGAGAATACTGTTCATTCCTATGCTGGAAGTACTTCTCTGAGCTCCCTTCTTAGTCTAAACTTTTAAGCCATTGCAACTTCTTTTTCTTCAGAGATGATATTTGACATTTTCAGCACTTCTTGTTCCTAGAAACCCAAAGAATATAATCTTGAACACGAAGTGTTTGTAACAAGGAATCCAGGCTACCAATCAAAAAGGACTCATTATGGGGACAAAATAATAACTTCACCTTCTTTCCCCCCACACCTCATTTAAATAGGGGGGGTCAAAACGATTTCAATGTAAATGCCTCATTTTAGTTTCTTTTTTTATTTAATATAAAGAGGCCAAAATAAATGCGGAGCAACTTCTTAGAATAGTATTCCTGTCCACACATCAAGCCGGACAGCGGAAACTGGACAGCTGTGGGGATATTAAGCACCCCCACTTTCAATTCTTAAATTCAGAATCTTGTCCCCTCCCTCCTCATGGAAGGCAGTTGTTCTGGTAGCCAACTTTCTCCTGTGTAATGGCAGGAGGGAACACCGGCTTCAATTTTTCACGTCCCCGTGACTTGCATACAAATGGTTCAACTGTATTAAAATTAAGTGCATTTGGCCAATAGGTAATATCTATACAATAACAGTCTCTAAGAATTTCCATAACTTTTCTTATCTGAAAGGACTCAAGTCTTCCACTGCAGATACATTGGAGGCTTCGCCCACGTTTTCTTTCCCTTTAGTTCGTTTGCTGTCTGGATGGCCAGTGAGCCTGTCCCCTTTTCTGTGGCCAATCTGAAGGCCTTCGTTGGAAGCGTTGTTTACAGTCATCCTTACCAAGACAACATACTGTCCTCCACACGTGGTAGGTGACACTAGCTCGAGCTGTTGTCTTCAGAGCAGTTACCAACAATCTCGGTGCATAGGTTTTCTCTGGTTCTTACAGGAACTACCTACTCTTTCAGTTACCTGGTCCAGGAGTGGGGTACATCCTTGAGTCAGTGCATTTGAACTTGATACCTGTGCATTCGGTTCTGTGAAGACTGCCCTTTTCTGGCGGGGTTTCTTCCTCTCCCCAGCCTGACTGCTCAACTCTCAATCCAAATTAGTGTCAGCCGAAAGGAGGTTTCCAGATAGTCCCTGTCAGTATTTGTGGTGACCTTCAGATTAGAAAGTCTTCATTTCCAGCCAGTCGAGTCCTGGCCCGAGCGCCATCTCTGAGACTCGTACCACTGGATGTTTTAATAACGGATCATTACCACCAAACTTCCAGTCGTATGCCTCCCACAGGCCAAGGGAAAACAGACACCAGAACTGGGGTTGAGGGCACTACCAGACTGACATGGCCAGTACAGAGGAGAACTAGGGAAGGAATGTTTTGCACCTTATTGAAAAGAAAATTTTAAGTGCATACATAATAGTTAAGAGCTTTTATTGTGACAGGAGAACTTTTTTCCATATGCGTGCATACTCTCTGTAATTCCAGTGTAAAATATTGTACTTGCACTAGCTTTTTTAAAACAAATATTAAAAAATGGAAGAATTCATATTCTATTTTCTAATCGTGGTGTGTCTATTTGTAGGATACACTCGAGTCTGTTTATTGAATTTTATGGTCCTTTCTTTGATGGTGCTTGCAGGTTTTCTAGGTAGAAATTATTTCATTATTATAATAAAACAATGTTTGATTCAAAATTTGAACAAAATTGTTTTAAATAAATTGTCTGTATACCAGTACAAGTTTATTGTTTCAGTATACTCGTACTAATAAAATAACAGTGCCAATTGCAGGTGTGCGTCTTTGCCTTCTGTTGGGTCCTCTAAGAGGAGGCCAGGAAAAAGGTGTTAATTTCTCCTCTTTATTTACCCCTGCTCTCCCTGGGGAGGTGTAACATGAGGCGTTGCCTTTGCTGCTGATTTTTTGGGGGGTGAAGAGTGTGTGTGAGATGAGGTTCTAAGATAGATAAAAGGCATACATCCACACCTGATGTCTTGGCTTCTTCAGTTCATGCTTATGTCTCCTAGCTGAACACTGCTGTTCAGAAGAGGTCTGTTTGTCTTTAAATGTGATAGCTTCATGGGCTCATGGGTCATAAACAATCCTAAGCAAAAAGAACAAAGCCGGAGGCATCACACTACCTGATTTCAAACTATACTACAAGGCTACAGTAATCAAAACAGCGTGATACTGGCACCAAAACAGAGATACAGACCAACAGAACAGAGGCCCTGGAGGCAACGCCACACATTTACAACCATCTGATCTTTGACAAACCTGACAAAAACAAGCAATGGGGAAAGGATTCCCTGTTTAATAAATGGTGTTGGGAAAACTGGCTAGCAGTGTGCAGAAAGCTGCAACTGGACCACTTCCTGACACCTTACACTAAAATTAACTCCAGATGGATTAAAGACTTAAACATTAAGACCTAACAACATAAAAGCCTAGAAGAAAACCTAGGCAAAAACCATTCAGGACACAGGCATAGGCAAGGACTTCATGACTAAAACACCAAAAGCATTGAGAACAAAAGCCAAAATAGACAAATGGGATCGAGTTAAACTCCAGAGCTTCTGTACAGCAAAAGAAACAATCATTGGAGTGAACCAGCAACCAACAGAATGGGAAAAAATTTTTGCAATCTACCCATCTGACAAAGGGCTAATATCCAGAATCTACAAAGAACTAAAACAGATTTATAAGAAGAAAACAAACCCATCCAAAAGTGGGCAACGGATATGAACAGACACTTTTCAAAAGAAGACATATATGAGGCCAAAAAACATGAAAAAATGCTCATCATCACTGGTCATCAGAGAAATGCAAATCAAAACCACATTGAGATACCATCTCATGCCAGTTAGAATGGCGATCATTAAAAAATCTGGAGACAACAGATGCTGGAGAGGATGTGCAGAAATAGGAACACTTTTACACTGTTGGTGGGAGTGTAAATTACTTCAGCCATTGTGGAAGACAGTGTGGCAATTCCTCAAGGACCCAGAAATAGAAATTCCATTTGACCCAGCAATCCCATTACTGGGTACATACCCAAAGGATTATGAATCATTCTGTTATAAAGACACATGCACACACATCTTCATAGTGGCACTGTTTGCAATAGCAAAGACCTGGAACCAACCCAAATGCCCATCGACGATAGACTGGACAAGGAAAATGCGGCACATACGCACCATGGAATACTATGCAGCCATAAAAAACGATGAGTTTGTGTCCTTTGTAGGGACGTGGATAAATCTGGAAACCATAATTCTCAGCAAACTGACACAAGAACAGAAAATAAAACACCGCATGTTCTCACTCATAGGCGGGTGTTGAACAATGAGGACACATGGACACAGGGAGGGGAGCATCACATACTGGGGTCTGTTGCGGGGAGGGGTCTATTACGGGGGGAGGGCTAGGGGAGGGACAGCAGTGGGTGGGAAAGTCAGGGAGGGATAACATGGGGAGAAATGCCAGATGTAGGTGATGGGGTGGGGGGATGGAGGCAGCAAACCACATTGCCATGTGTGTACCTATGCAACAATCCTGCATGATCTGCACATGTACCCCAGAACCTAAAGTACAATAAAAAAAAAAAAGCTCTCTTTAAGATGTCCTTTCCTTCACCTTTCTCACTTATTTTGCAACAGTCTCTTAAAAACAAACATTTGAAGATAAGCGTAAAACACGCCTTCCATAGGACCAGCCGGAGCGCCTCACACCTCACAGAGGGCAAGGTGGGGAGCCTGCAGCCATGCCCCACGTCTTGCTCCACGTTAAACAGCCTCTTAGCCCTCCTGTCTCCAAAGTGCAGCCCTTGTATTGGTAAACGTACAAGTGTTACTCTTAATGGGCTGGGCGTGGTGGCTCACACCTGTAATCCTAACACTTTGGGAGGTTGTGGTGGGCGGATGCCTGTGCCCAGGAGTTTGAGACCATTCTGGGCAACATGGTAAAATCCTGTCTCTACAAAAAAATACAACAATTAGCTGGGCGTGGTGGCAAGGTGCCTGTAGTCCCAGCTACTTGGGAGGCTGAAATGAGAGGATCACTTGAGCCTGGGAGGTCGAGGCTGTGGTGAGCTGTGATCCTGCCTGGATGACAAGAGTGAGCCCCTGTCTCAAAATCTTAAAGGATTTAGTAGGGAGAAGTATTGCACTGGAGTGAACGCTGCTGGATCTCTCAATGTTTTCTTAAATGACCAACAGTAGGCCTGTACGATCCCAGAGTGTGACGGTTCTGCTCAGACGCTTCTCACGCCATTGGTCACTGTGGACAATCAGGCCATTCATTCACCCTGACACAGCGGCACCCCGTGGCCCTTCTCTACTCCAGGGTGACTACTTGCCTTTCCAAAGAAAACTGACTTGGGTACCTGCTCTTTAGCCTTATCAAAAAGTAAAGTAAAACATCCTGATCTGCGCTTTCCAGGCCTGGAACTCAATACTTCGAAGTTAAGTGGCCGGTCATCACTTCTTCTGCGTTCACTGTTTAAACAAGCATCCTGGGGGACTGCTGCAGGTCAGCTGCAGAGACCAGTTCTCCAAGACAGTGTCATTGTTCCCAGCCCATTCACTGACCTTATACAGTAGCGCTGTGTGGTCCTTCCGGGAAAGGATTCCCTGGCGCAACAAGGGAATGTCTCTAACTCATGTCTCAAACCAATGTCTTTTAGGATGCCACTAATTAAAGGTTTGGCTCTTTTGCAGTGCATCTCCACTTGCTGATTTCTCGGGAGATAACCTTTCCATAAAACATCCAATGGAAGTTCAAAGGGAGTTGGAACTGAGGGGGGAAAAAGATGGAGGAAAACAAAACGTAATGAGAAGCCAAGACAGGGACAGCTTCCTAGAGGCGACAGCACACTGGTAGGGACAGATGACTTGTCCCTGAAAAGCACGTGTAATCAAAGTCTCAGGAAAACACATTGCCCCAACCCTGTGAGTATCAGCTGGGAAAACAATTCAGGTTCATCACTCCAGTTAATTGCTTTTGCTCTTTTCCAGCAACCAAAAGCTCCAGGTGGGGAATGCCACCACCTCTAGCTTTTGGTTGCTGGAAAAGCTAGAGACGGTTACTCTGACTCTGGCCTGTCCGCCCCCCGCCCCACACTGTCCTCTCCCTGCTCCTCCTAAGGTGACTTGTCTGCTAATGGCCAGGAGTGGCTTGCCACCAGCCTGTCTAGGAAGAAGGCAAAACAAATCCCAAAGCATTCAACTTGACTCCTACAAATACAAACTCCAGCGCTTCATCAAGTCTTAAGATAACAGCATTATATTAAAGTGAAACCATCTTCTTTTAAAAAAGAGAGAGACAGGTGCAAGTGTCGGTTTGAACAATGAGGTTATGAGTTCTGGGCAGCAGGGCTCTGATGTTGCCCCAATCAGTGCCTTGTGTCTGAGCCCCCGAGAAGGCACGCGAGAGGGCACCGAAGCTCCAGGCGGCAGGAGGGTGGAGAGAGCACACAGCATTCCACCATTCAGCAGCAGCCAGAAGCTCAGCCCGAACAGACTAGGAAGGAGATGGGAAAAGCAGGTTTGGAAGCTTCCGCTCGGGACGGACGCCGCTTCGCCCCAGGGTTAGCTGAACACGGTGTTATGCTGCTGGGTCACCCGGATGAACGTGGCCCTCCTGCTGAGCTCCTTGAGTTTGGCGGCCCCCACGTAGGTGCACGTGGACCTCAGTCCCCCGAGAATATCCAGGATAGTGTTTTCCACATCTCCTTTGTAAGGCACTTCCACAGTCTTACCCTCGGAGGCTCTGCAAGGCAAAGGAAGTTTGCACTTTTATCTAGCTTTTTCCCCCTCACGAGCCCAGTTAGAATTATTCCCAGCTCCAGCACTTTCTGTAGCCCCCGAGGCACTCAGAAAGCCAGACCCCACCCTCTGACCCCATCCCCACATTCTACCAAGTGCCAAGATGGTCACCAGCATCTTAGATGAACACATGCCTCCCACCCAAAGGGCTCGGGCTCCCTGCTGGCAGCCCTGCATGCTGGGGAGAGGAAAGTCCTGGTGAGTAGCACTTGAAGGAGCTGGGGACACAAACCACCCCGCTTGGTGACATTCTCTCCAGCAACATGCTCCCCTCTGCCCCTAACAGAAACCACCTTTACCTTTCTATTCTATCTCAACACACATGCCAACTTCCCAACAGCCAGAAGCCAAAATGCCCCAAGGAAGAATGGCCCTCACAGATGCCCCCGGAAACTGCCTCCTGACCTCCTAGACCAGTCACAGGAAAAGCCCAGAGCTTCACCTCCTGCCTACCCACTCTGAGATCAGAAACCACACGTCCTCAAGGAGGGCGACGAGGACGTTAAATGCACAACTCAGGTCCTACCAGGTTACATGGAAATCACCAGCAAGACGAGGAGGCTCTGTCGTGATCGCTTGCCTGGCCTTCTGCCTTGCTGGGTACATGGCCACCCCCAGTTCGCCTCCCTGTTCTCTTACAAGTCACTACATAGGAGGAGAACCGAGACCTGTCTTAGTTCTGGAGGCTTCTGGGCTTTGGATAGCATCTTTCACATTTTCAGAACAGTATTTAGAAATTCAGAAGGTCTGGCCTATGGCATGAACACTAAGCAATATTTCACTGTCCCCACTCAGCCCATGTCCCTCTCTTCACAAAGCCACCGGGTGACACTGCGTGACTGTTAGTTGGGTAACACAGGTTACGTCCCCTTCCTGCAACATGGGGATGTGGTCCAGACTGTATTCCCAGAAGGAAATCCGAAATCTCGGCAAAACTCTAGCTCTCATGGAAGGGCTAGGCAAGCTCTCACAAGTACCCAAATTCTGGAACTTTCTGTAGCCGTTCTCTTCAGCTGGAAAAGAGCATCTCTTTTTTTTTTTTTTTTTTGTTTTTCTTGAGATGGAGTTTTGCGCTTGTCGCCCAGGCTGGAGTGCAGTGGTGCAATCTCGGCTCGCTGCAACCTCCGCCTCCTGGGTTCAAGCAATTCTCCTGCCTCAGCCTCCGGAGTAGCTGGGACTACAGGTGCCCGCCACCACTCCCAGCTAATTTTAGTACTTTTAGGAGAGACATGGTTTCACCATGTTGACCAGGCTGGTCTTAAACTCCTGACCTCAGGTGATCCACCTGCCTCGAAGAACATCTCCTGACTAGACATTCATTACCAGAATTACAAATGGGTGTTAATTCTTGGTCACTGAACAGGCAGGACTATCCACGGGTAAAATTTAGCTACTTCAATCATCAGCTGGTTTAGAGCCGTAAGCTCAGGAAGCTAAAGTCACTGGCCATACCCAGGACAGTGCAGGGCTCAGCACTCTGTGACCCCAGACAGGCATCTGTGCTCGCATGCCTGCAATGATGGACATTTCGTTTTCCTAAGATATTTAAATGGCCTTCCTGGGGCTTGTTGGAAATTTCTAGATTCTTCTCATTGTTGCTCCTTTGCTAACTGCTGGTTTAACCTTTCACAAGTTCCTATTTTGCTGAAGCTTAAGTCTGTTTATCTGTCAAATGAAGGCACGTTGCTTCCCGGAGATGGTGTGAGAATGAAATAGTTAATGATTTGAAAAGAATCAGTGATGTGTACATAACTGTGCGGTAAGTGATTTGTCAAAGTCGGGAAGCATTCTCATGACGAGATCATGGTCATGAGGCTGAAAACTGCCAGATGAGAGAGACAGACCGAGAGAGAGACTGACTCAGAGAGAGAGGCAAGCAGGTATAGCCTGCTCAAGCTGCAGCTCTCAGATTAAGGTTCTCATTTCCTTAGCAATTTCCTTCCCTGTCAAAAATTTGAATCCATGTCCAGAACTGAGTCTTGCCACTGCTGAATCTTTTGTTTTTCCTGTTATATCTAAACCCTGCTGAAATTACAGCAGACTGTTTTTCTTTCAGCTCTTTGGCTTCTGTTTGTACCATCCCCTGATCTATTATAGACTTCCTGATCTATATTTTTTTTTTTTTTAAATGGAGTCTTACTTTATTGCCCAGGCTGGAGTGCAATGGGATGATCTCAGTTCACTGCAACCTCTGCTTCCTGGGTTCAAGTGATTCTCCTGCCTCAGCCTCCTGAGTAGCTGGGATTACAGGTGCCTGCCACCACACCCAGCTAATTTTTCTATCTTTAGTAGAGATGGGTTTCACCATGTTGGCCAGGATGGTGTTAATCTCCTAACCTTGTCATCCGCCCTCCTCAGCCTCCCAAAGTGCTGGGATTACAGGCGTGAGCCACCGCGCCCAGCCATATTTTTTAGAACCCAAAACAGATGCAACCACGAGGGCAAAACAGGTTCTCCAGGCAAAGCACCTGTTGCTCACCCATGAAAACTCCGCTTACATTCTGGCACAGAGGAGACATGTGCAGGCCCTCGGATGCTGACAATCATTGCTGGTAAAGCACTAAGCTTCTTGGCCACAGGTCCAGCTCAGTACCTCCTCCTCACCCAACTGTGTAACCTCCTTCTCCGTCAGGGACCGCATGGAGGAAAGAGGGCCTGGGGGCTACCTGGGAGGAGCGAGAGTGCCCCGCGTTTATGATTGGCGCAGTCCCCATCGATCTTTCCCTTCCTGCCTTTCCCATGCTACAATATCTTTATTGAGGTTCACCACCAAAAGAGAAAGAGACCGGGGAGAATGAGACTGAAGTAAGTCAACCAGAACCCTACGGAAGAACAGAACTCTGGTAGAATACCCACACCTCCCCCCAATCTCCCCGCCTACAAATCTCAGTGGAGTTCTGAGATTTTGCTGCTAACTTGATATGAACTTTACATCTGAGTCCCAGGTCCTCAAAATGAGCCTTTGGGTGTGGAATGGGTGGTAGGAAATAAAGGGTGTCAGCCAGGGAGGGCTTAGGTTTCCACTCCAGCACTGGGACAAGGTCTGAAAACTGAAGGGAAAAGCCTGAGGTCTCCTGGGGAAAGGTGACCAGCCACTTCACAGCCTGCTCCCCTCTGCAGATGGAGGACCTTTGGTCCTGACCCCATGTTGTGTTACAGCTGGTTTACGCAATGAGAATCAAGAGCAGGCTCTCTGGAGCAGAGTGAGGCGGTGCGTAGACGGCCATCAGGTTCTTTTGTTTTTGAGGCAGGGTGTCATTCTGCTGGCCAGGCTGGAGCACGATGGCATGCTCATAGCTTGCTGCAGCCTCCAACTCCTGGGCTTAAGCTATCTTCCTGCCTCAGCCTCCTGAGTGGCTGGGAGTGCAGTCATGTGACACCACACCCAGCTAATTTTAAAATTTTTTGTAGAGACAGGGTCCTGCTATGTCGCCTAGGCTCATCTGGAACTCCTGTGCTGAAGTAATCCTCTAACCCTGGCTTCTAGAAGCACGGGGATTACACAGGCACGAGCCACTGTGCCTGGCCTCATCATCAGGTTCTTCAAACACATATGCAGACAGTTAAAATGGAAGTGAATCGGCAAAGACCCAGGTGTCTTTGGAAACCATGGGTTAAAAACACCCATTAGGGGCCGGGCGCAGTGGCTCACGCCTATAATCCCAGCACTTTGGGAGGCCAAGGTGGGTGGATCACTTGAAGTCAGGAGTTCGAGACCAGCCTGGCCAACATGACGAAACCCTGTCTAAACTAAAAATACAAAAATTAGCTGGGCGTGATGGCAGGCAACTGTAATCCCAGCTACTTGGGAGGCTGAGGAAGGAGAATCACTTGAACTCAGGAGGGGAGGTCCCAGTGAGCCAAGATCGTGCCATTGCACTCCAGCCTGGGCGACAGAGCGAGACTCCACCTCAAAAATAATAAAAAAAATACAAAATAAAAACACACATCAGCAGAAGTGAGCCCCATTCTGGAGTGGATGACACCACTGAATGCTGAAAACGCTGGCTGCGTTGACTCCCAGAGCCTGCAGGCAGGGGAGAAGCCGCAGGAGCTGTGCAGCGTCCTTCGGAAAAGGCCTGGCCGCGCAGTGCTCTAGACCACACCTACCGCTTCCTGGGCAAGAGGAGAGTCATTCTTCAACTCCATTCTTCCAGCCTCAACTCCCCTCAAGCCAGAGATCAAAGCTTGCAGGGATAGCTCAGCAATGGCTCTACTGGAAGGACTACGAATAATCCCACCCACCCCCAGAGGTCTGGAATATTCCCTTCAGGACCGGAACTCACTCACATATACCCCTGGTCACACTTCCAACCCATCCCCAAACACTCCTGCTCTGTACTTGCTTTCGGGAACTCCAAGCACTGCAAATGCTAACTGGATAAAAATTAGGGTTCTTTAAAAAGAACCCCTTCCCATGGTACTTTAATATACACAGAGCTGCTATTCAGACCTACTTCCATCCCATCTCTGGAAGAAGCAAGAGCAAGGCCAGGCCTCGAGGGTGCGTCCCGGGGCCGCCCCTCACCTGTACTCGGCAACTCCTCCTGCGTGCTTCTTCATGGCCGTGTCTGAGCTCATCCCGTAGAACAGCTTGAGCTTCTGTCCGTTCCTCTCAATCACTTCTCCAGCACACTCTGTATGACCCGAAAACATCCCTCCCAGCATCACAAAATCGGCTCCGGCTCCTACAGGCCAACAGCGGGGACAAAACAGAGTAGCTGAGAAAAGAGCGCAGGGGAAGCAGGCTCCCCCAAAATCCAAGTGCGTGCCCAGTACGCCTCCCCCTCCACCAGCTGTAGTCAAGAGAGAGGATGGGCTTCTCACGTCTCTCCTCCTGGAAAAAGGGAGAGGGTCTCCATGCAGGGAGACAGGGCCAGGGGACGCGGGAAGAAACAAACAGCCACAGTGTATGGGGCTGGTATCCTCTACGCTGGACCACGCGTAACAGCTAGTAATGGCTAACTAGGACCACCTTCCTCAGATCTAACTCTTCTGGAATCAGAGAAACATTAAAAATCGGGCAGTATTCTGCAGGTGCGGTGGCTCATGCCTGTAATCCTAGCACTTTGGGAGACTGGGGCGGGTAGATCACTTGAGGTCAGCAGTTCAAGACCAGCCTAGCCAACATGAAACCCCGTTTCTACTAAAAATACAAACATTAGCTCAAAATCCCTTGAACCCAGGACACAGGGGTTGCAGTGGGTCGAGATCATGTCATTGCATTCCTGCCTGAGCAACAGAGGGAAAATCCTTCTCCTCAAAAAAAAAAAAAAAAAAATTGAGCAGTATCTTAGAAAGCATGTTATCTAATCTTATACTTAATGCATGGCGCCTCAGGTGTCTGGTCTGTACTTGAAGCTCTCTGCACTCTGACACTACCAGTGCTATTTACAGGTCAGGAAAGGGCCTCAGAACAGAACGAGCCCCCTACACTGGAGACGTCTTCAAGGAAAGCCGCCCCTGTGTCATGGAAGCCTCGTAAAACTCTCCCCACACCACCGCTGTGCTACATGTTAGATGCTCCGCCATACTAATCATCACCAAATGACCACACTTCCAGGACAGGCACAGAAGAGGCAGAGGTGCTGCAGCTGCCTGGCTTTGTGGGCTCTGCTGGCACAGGCCCAGGGCTGGCTCTATGGTAGAGCCATGTGCGTGGCACATGGAGACGCTAAATGATTAGCTGTCAAAAAAGGAAAGGAGCTTGTGAGAGAAATAATAAAAACAGTTCTCAGTCCCCATCTTGTTCATGGGTCACTGTGCGGAGAGATTCTTCTTTGCCTATTAACTAAGGATCTGCTACAACCTCCCGTCCTAAATCCTGCTGAGGGTTTACATTTAGAACAGAACAAGACGGCAGGCAGCGGGGCACAGATGCATTAAGCAAGAGGATGAAGGAGGACGGGGAGCCTGCTAAATCCTAATTAGGGGGAGAAAACGTAGGAACCCCTCAGTGTGGCCCTGACGCCTTCGATCTGGTCATTTAAACATCGGTAGAGCACTCTGGGGTTCGTATTGGCATTACAGTCCCTTCCACTCAGCGTGATGGAAAGGTGTGCATTTCTGGCACTCAGGGAAGCAAGGCACAACACAACCTTCCTACATGGCAGCTACCTCTGAAGACCCTCCCTCCCTCCCTCCCTTCCGGGGTTCCTAACATGAATGCTGGCCCCCTGGTCCTCCTGCCATGATTTTAAGGAGCCAGAGGATAACTGGTGTCCAGCCAGGATTCCTGACGACCACAATTCCTGGAGCAAAGCAGAGGAGCAAACGTCAATAGCAGGAACATGGAGCACAGACACAGCGAAAGAATGCTTTGACGGGTTCCCAGCCATGTTCGTTTCGGGACACTCTGGCATCCTTCCCTGACACGGTCCCTCTCCCTCCACTGAGTCTCTGCATAAGCATGGCTGTACTGATTGACAAACAGTGGAGGAAAGAATGACACCCAAGGGAGACTGAGCTGAGCGTGGTCCAAAGCCCGGGAACTGTGATCTACAAGGCACCTTCTCAACAACCACTCACTTTAAAGTGTGTTCGATTCTCTCTCTGTACAGAGAGCATGTGTGAGGCAACAGAGTCCAAGAGGCACCACCACCTGTACTAAGTAGATGCAGCTCAAAAACCAATCGTGGCCAGGCATGGTGGCTCACACCCGCAATTCCAGCACTTTACAGAGGCTGAGGCGAGCGGATCCCCTGAGGTTGGGAGTTCAAGACCAACCTGACCAACATGGAGAAACCCTATCTCTACTAAAAAAAAACAACAACAACAACAAAAAAAAACAAAAACAAAAACAAAAACCCACAAAATTAGCCAGGCATGGTGGCATGTGCCTGTAATCCCAGCTACCCAGGAGGCTGAGGCAGGAGAACTGCTTGAACCCGTAAGGTGGAGGTTGCAGTGAGCTGAGATTGTGCCATTGCACTCCAGCCTGGGCGACAAGAGCAAGACTCCATCTCAAAAAAACAAAAACGAACAAAAACACAATCGTAAAATTGCCCTTGGCCAACGATCCTTACAACACAGGGTATGCGACAGTCCTGGTTAGCAGAGGCACTGTGTTCTCCTCCTTCTGCCCCTGACTGCAGGACTGTGACCTTGTCATTCCCTCCTAGAGCCTCAGTTCCCTCAACTATAAAATAGGAAGCTGGGATCAGTGGAGGTTCTGTAGATTCCCTTCCATAGATAGGATCTAGGATTAGGATGAGATTAAATCCCATTTTTTATGACATCCTTTGGGTTGCTCTGAAACCTTCTTGCTAAGAACATTGCCCTATGTTTTCCTTTGTCACTATCAGGGTTGTTTGCTCAACATTTATTTTTTAATTTTTTTCTTTGAGACAGGGTCACTCTGTCACCCAGACTGGAGCACAGTGAGGTGATCTTGGCTCACTATGACCTCTGCCTCCCCAGTTCAAGCGATTCTCCCACCTCCGCCTCCCAAGTAGCTGTGATTACAGGTGTGCACCACCACACCTGGGTAATTTTTTTTTTTTTGTATTTTTAGTAAAGATGGGGTATTGGCCAGGCTGGTCTCAAACTCCCCGTTTCAAGTGATCCACCGACCTCAGCCTCCCAAAGTGCTGGGATTACAGGCATGAGCCACTGCACCAGACTGAACTTTTTTTTTCTGGCATCAGCAAAGGGTGGAGGCATGGGACCTTCGGTTCTGCCTCCTGCCGGCACCCACAACCCCAGCTTCATATTCTGGAGCCTGAAGCCACAGGGCCGGCTCTGACTTCTGAATGCAGTCTGCAGATCAGTGGCCAGCAGGGGCTTGACAGCCGTATGTTACTGCCTGTGGTGCTGAGATGCTTGACCTCTAGTGCTTTCCCAAGAAAAGCTCAGGACCTGCTGCCCTCCCACCACGGCTCCCTGATCCCCAATCCCAAGGGCTCACAGCAGGCACTGCTGCCCCCTAGTGGAAGGCTGGCTCCAGCCTCCAGTGAGAAACCGCTGCAGGGCTTTTCCAGGCTGGCTCCAAAAAACCCTCTGTAGTTCCCACACATCACAACTGGCACCATCCCCTTGGACAGGTCCCCAGAGCCTCCTCTGCCCTGGGATGAAAAGACCATGACTTCACCCACTCCTGGCTTGCAGGACGTTACCCCTAGATCCGTCTCCTGGGGCATCTGTGGCCTGCTTTGCCGTGGACCAGAAACAAACCAATGCTGGGATCTGGGCCAACTGGGGCTGAAACCCAGGGAAAGGAAACTCCAGGCAGGCCCAGAACTTCCCCAGCTGGTCCCCCTCCTCATTCAGGTTGCCACCTGGAGAGATGCAGGGAGCTCCCTCCCTCCTTCCTTCCCTCCTTCTGCACCAGGGCCCGGCCTTACCAAAGGCTTTGGCGACATCCCCTGGACACGTGCAGCCTCCATCCTTCACAGAGGAAAAAGCAAGGACAGGACATCATCAGTGGGAGCTCAGCCAGGCTGTCCCCTACCCCAGGATGATCCAGTGATCAGGGGTTCAGACCCGCCACAGCCCCCAGCAAGCACAGGGGCCCACGGCCCCCACCACCACGGCTGGTGCTGTCTGTCAGGGTGTGTTTGCCTCAATATTGCATCTTTCACTCCCAAGCCCGTCCAGACTTCATCTGTGGGTCAGAGGCTGGCATCACCCACCACCTGCCCGCCTGGGCTCAGGCACTTCTGCTGGTGAGCAGGAGGCGGCAGGGGCCATGAGCGGTGGGGGGCTCGGCCCTCATCCCATGCCAGCCCCTTACATAACACACCCAGCCCTTCCACCGTCCACGCTCATTCTCACTCAGGAGTCACCTTGCCCTCTCTGCCTGGTGTGAGGTGAGATTTATTTAGTACAAAGGTTGAATTCTTTTAAGAGTCAAGAAAAGGACATTGAGTTAATCCTTTTATCTTTCCAGGTACCTCCACGTCTCCTATTCCTCACATATGGTGCACAGTTACCTTAAAATCAAACATCTGTCTTCCACCCACACTGCCCATGCAGAGCACGCCTGGGCTGGCTGAATGTGCAGCAGGCCCCGTCTTTAACTTGCGCTGCTTAGCAAGGTTCAGCTGTGGGGGGTATGGTTCAAACACCAGCCACACAATCCAAGCATTCTAGCATGCAGAGCTGGCTGCATTTGCTTACGAACCCAAGACACCAAACGCCCAGGCTGCTACCTGCTATTCCTAACGTAGTCTGGGTGTGGTTCAAGGGGGACAAGGACAGCAGCAGTTCCCTGGAGCAGCAGCCAGACACACAGGGACAGCCACGGAGGCCACAGTGCAAGGGACAGCCAAGGAAGCCACAGCGCAAGGGGAGATAGCAACAGTGTCAGGGCTCACGTGACAGCGACACAGCCCAAAGCTCAGTGTGGGTCTAGGAGAAACAGCAGGGCCTCCGAGGGAAGCACCTGTCCCCAGAAGGTGGGACCCACTTTGGGAAGGAACGGGGGAGAGACAGGGTACCCGGGCTACCCCGTGCTGCAGTCTGCAGGGAGGTACATGCAGGTCTGGAGTTGGAGGGTGGGAAACTGGGATTAAGCATCCTGAAAAGGACATCTCAAGCCGAACAGAGGGTGTCTGTGACTCAGTCCTCTTTCTCTATCTGCCAATGAGGCCTGTCACTCCAGGAGCTAGGACTTCAATATTGTTTCACTTCTTTGCAGCTCTGATCAAAAGGTTAAGTGTGAAGGCTGGACCTTTTCTTGACAAACATTTACTGACTACAATTATGTCCTCAATCACATGTGTTATTCATACATGGCTCCTCTGACCCCCAGAGGGTCACAGAGCACTGGGGAATAATTATTTCTGAAGGAGTCTTGCCGTATGGTATCTGGCCCAAACCCTCCGTGTGGAGACAGAAACAAGGCTTGCGGCTCCATACACCTTGTTAATGCTTCAAAATCCTGGTATATGTATTTACTTTACCTTTCAGAGGTACAACCTTAAAATGCCCTTCGCTTGCCATGCCAATTAATTTCAAAGTGCTTCACCTCTTTATCAAAACCAGCTCTACACAGTGTTTCACACTTGTGGCCTCGAACAGATTAAATAAACTCATGTTCCCATTAAAGTAAGTCCTACATATGTATGACTTAAAAAAAAAAAAAAAGAAAAAAGAAAAAAGAAAAAAAGAGTGGGGCACAGTGGCTCACCCCTGTAATCCCACTTCTTTGGGAGGCCAAGGCAGGCGGATCACCTGAGGTCAGGAGTTTGAGACTAGCCTGGCCAACGTGGTGAAATCCCATCTCTACTAAAATAAAAAAATTATCTGGGCATGGTGGGCACCTGTAATCCTAGCTACTGGGGAGGCTGAGGCAGGAGAATCACTTGAACCCAGGAGGTGGAGGCTACAAGTGAGCTGAGATCATGCCACTGCACTCCAGCCTGGGGAACAAAGAGCGAAACTCTGTTTCAAAAAAAAGAATCACTCTTTTGTTCACCTATTTGTGTCTCCTGTGGTGTCCTGAAAATTTCACATTATTGTGGTGAGTGAGGAGGCCTGACTCACGGGCCCTGTGCTATGGGACCCCAAGAAAATCAGCCTCTCTCTTCCCAGGATAGGCCAAGAGATCCACAGTTAATACAACTGTGTAACATGTCGCAAAGAGAAATCTTATCACGGTGTCATCTGCTCACAGGGTGCTTTTGTATGTCCACTTGTGAAATGGACAGCGTAGACCACACAAGCCCAGTTGCACATTTAACCAGGAACCATCCAATGTCACATGATGCCTCAGGACAGACAGGGCAGTCTGCTTCCTGCTACTATATTTCCCAAAGTGTCCAAAGTGTCCTGCCATGTTCTCGGGAAGCAGAGTAGCTCCAGCAATCTAAGACACACATATATCTTCACACATAAATATTCACAGCTGCTGAAAGGTTGTTAAAAACAACATCATCATAATTTGGGCTAGTATTTAGTTCTGTGCAAGTGTTCAAAGTGGTAATTTACAAGGAGTCCTTTTTTTGTTTTTCCAAAAGAATTAACATTATATTTAAGTACAAACGGCACCACAGGACACGAATGATAACTTGTGAATTGCCAGCCTGCCTCTTTTGCTTAAAAATACTTGCTCAGCACACAGGTACATAAAGCACGTTCTTAATGACCTACAAAGAGGCTCAGACTCCCACACAATCATAGTGGGAGACTTTAACACTCTGCTGTCAATATTAGACAGATTAATGAGACAGAAAATTAACAAGCATATCCAGGACTTGTACTCAGATCTGGACCAAGCGGACCCAATAGACATCTACAGAAATCTCCACCCCAAATCCACAGAATATACACTCTTCTCAGCACCAAATCACACCTACTCTAAAACTGACCACATAATTGGAAGTAAATCACTCCTCAGCAAATGCAAAAGAACGGAAATCATAACAAACAGTCTCTCAGACCACAGTGCAATCAAGTTAGAACTCAGAATTCAGAAACTAACTCAGAACCGCACAACTTCATGGAAACTAAACAACTGGCTCTTGTTGTTGACTGGATAAACAATGAAATGAAGGCAGAAATAAAGATGTTCTTTGAAACCAACGAGAACAAAGACACAACATACCAGAAACTCTGGGACACATTTAAAGCAGTGTTGAGAGGGAAATCTATAGCAATAAATGCCCACCGGAGAGCGAGGAAAGATCTAAAATCGACATCCTATCAAAATGGAAAGAGCTAGAGGAGCAGGATCAAAAAAACTCAAAGTCTAGCAGAAGACAAGAAATAACTAAGATCAGGGCAGAACTGAAGGAGACAGAGACACAAAAAAATCCTTCAAAAAAAAATAATAAATCCAGGAGCTGATTTTTTGAAAAGATCAACAAAATAGACCACTAGCCAGATTAATAAGAAAAGAAAGAATAATTAAATAGATGCAATAACAAATGATAAAGGGGATGTCACCACCGACTCCACAGAAATACAAACTACAATCAGAGCTTACTACAAACAACTCTAGGTACATAAACCAGTAAACCTGGAAGAAATAAATAAATTCCTGGACACTCGCACCCTCCCAAGCCTAAACCAGGAAGAAGCTGAAACCCTGAAAAGACCAATAACAATGGCTGAAGTTGAGGCAGCAATTAATAGCCTACAAACAAAAAAAAAGCCCAGGTCCAAATGGGTTCACAGGTGAATTCTACCAAATGTACAAAGAGGAGCTGGTAACGCTCCCTCTGAAACTATTCCAAATAATCCAAAAAGAGGGAATCCTTCCCAAATCATTCTATGAGACCCACATCATCCTGATACCAAAACCCGGCAGAGACTCAACAAGAAAAGAAAACTTCAGGCCAATATCCATGATGAACATCAGTGCAAAAATCTTCAAAAAAAATAGTGGCAAACTGATTGCAACAGCACATCAAAAAGCTTATCCACCATAAACAGGTAGGCTTCATTCCGGGGATGCAAGGCTGGTTCAACATACGCAAGTCTATAAACGTAATTCACCACATAAACAGAACCAAAGACAAAACCACATGATCATCTCAATAGATGCAGAGAAGGCCTCTGACAAAATTAAACAGTCCTTTATGCTAAAAACTCTCAATAAACTAGGTATCAAAGGAACATATCTCAAAATAATAAAAGCTATTTATGACAGACCTACAGCCAATATCATACTGAATGGGCAAAAACTGGAAGCATTCCCTTTGAATTCTAGCACTAGACAAGGATGCCCTCTCTCACCACTCCTATTCAATATAGTATTGAAAGTTCTAGCCAGAGCAGTTAGTCAAGAAAAAGAAAGAAAGGGTACTCAATTAGGAAAGGAGGAAGTCAAATTGTCTCTATTTGCAGATGACATGATTGTATATTTAGAAGACCCTATCATCTCAGCCCAAAATCTCCTTAAACTGATAAGCAACTTCAGCAAAGTCTCAAGATACAAAATCAATGAGCAAAAATCACAATCACAAGCATTCCTATACACCAGTAACAGACTTAATGAGAGCCAAATCAAGAACGAACTGCCATTCCCAATTGCTACAAAGAGAATAAAATACCTAGAAATACAACTAACAAAAGATGTAAAGGACCTCTTCAAGGAGAACTACAAACTACTGCTCAAGGAAATGAGAGGACACAAACACATGGAGAAACATGCCACGCTCAGGGTTAGGAAGAATCAATATCGTGAAAATGGCCATACTGCCCATTTATAGATTCAATTTATAGATTCAACATTATCCCCATCAAGCTACCAATGACCTTCTTCACAGAACTGGAAAATACCACCTTAAACTTCACATGGACCCAAAAGAGAGCCTGCATAGCCAAGACAATCCTAAGTAAAAATAACAAAGCCAGAGGCATCATGCTACCTGGTTTCAAACTATACTACAAAGCTACAGTAATCAAAACAGCATGGCACAGGTACCAAAACAGAGATATAG